TTTATACTAAAATATCTGAATTACTTTGAAGAAAGCTGGAAATTATGTCCCTTAAAATAATTAAACAAATAAGGCACCAATGTTTTTGTAAGATATTTACATCTTTTAAGGACGTTCGGTAGACTGATTCCCCACTGTTGGTTCAACCCCAAAACTTGTTTGTATTCAAAATTAATTATGACAATGCATATTTATATTGAAACAAACTATGATAAAGGGAATTATATTATATAACAAAGGGCAAGGTCACCAGAGTTCAACTATGTTCTAATGATATCTTCAGCTCTTTAATTGAAATGTGCATTCTAACAGCGGAGCTATCTCAGCCGACAGACTGCTTGTTTGTATGTATCATACTTCTTTTGTGATAGTACATGACGTTGCAGATGGCTGTATACATAGATAACACCATTACATGTTCTTATCTAACAGCAACATGGAACACGGTGGTGGAACACATATCCTTGACAAGATGAAAGGAGCATTTGGAAAGTTGAAGGTAATGATGATGTGTTATTCAGTTATTATTTATCCATATTCAACACAGTGATTTGATTTTGTAACTTTTTAATATTGAATGTACTACAACTACTTCCAGTTACTATAAATTAGTTACAGCTTCAACTACTTACAGTTAAAACTGTTTATAATTACTTAGAGTAACAACTGCTTACATTTACAATTACCATACTTACAGTTAAATCTGCGTAGTTACAATTACTTACAGCTTCAACTGATTACAGTTACAACTACTTACAGTTACAACTACTTACATTTACAATTACTTACAGTTACAACTACTTACAGTTACAATTACTTACAGTTACAACTGCTTACAGTTACAATTACTTACAGTTACAACTACTTACATTTACAATTACTTACAGTTACAACTGCTTACAGTTACAATTACTTACAGTTACAACTACTTACATTTACAATTACTTACAGTTACAACTGCTTACATTTACAATTACTTACAGCTTCAACTGCTTACAATTACAATTACTTACAGTTACAACTGCTTACAGTTACAACTACTTACATTTACAATTACTTACAGTTACAACTGCTTACATTTACAATTACTTACAGTTTCAACTGCTTACAATTACTTACAGTTTCAACTGCTTACAATTACTTACAGTTACAACTGCTTACATTTACAATTACTTACAGTTACAACTACTTACATTTACAATTACTTACAGTTTCAACTGCTTACAATTACTTACAGTTACAACTGCTTACAATTACTTACAGTTACAACTGCTTACATTTACAATTACTTACAGTTTCAACTGCTTACAATTACTTACAGTTTCAACTGCTTACAATTACTTACAGTTACAACTGCTTACAGTTACAATTACTTACAGTTACAACTGCTTACAATTACTTACA